TATATATATATATATATATTATTTTATTTTTTTCATTGGTCAAGTGATAAATCTTTTAGAAGAACATAATTACAATGGTTGGCCACGATCCTCAAACCTCGTCTTTCGAGTTTCGAATTACTATCGAATCCATAATAAAAAAAAGAATGATTCATAGTCGGGTCCATAACTTCCTAAACAATACTCAAACGTATCAACATTAACTTTGGCCCATAAGTGGATATGTACAATTATACATTTATTATTAACTAAAATTTATTAAATAAAAGTTAGTAGAGTGTTGTAACGAGAGTTCAATATCCAAAAGCATCACACTTATGTGTTCTATTTATTTAATGAGTCGTATTCATTATTTTGGATGCTTTATAAACTTAACTAATAGTGAGATGTTAGAAAAAATATATGAGGGAACATGTTACTGATAATATGTTTAATACCGCTTAGAATCAATTATGACCCCAAAATCATGCTGAAAAATTAAAAAAGTTGAAGAACTATCTGTTGCTTTGGTCTTCAATTTGATTTTACATATATTTGATTTTGGTAGAATTGAAAATTAAACCACTCACACCGACACTTCTAATTTAAATTCTGAGGTGATATATTAATGCAAAATAAATAAAATGTAGTTTTGTGGTGTCATTGTGCCTGTTGCGTGAGGATATTTAATTTGTGAACCAAGACTAAGGAAGTAGGATGGATAATGACTCATGATTTGGCTTCATCTTCTCACAGTTGCAATTTAGATAATTAGGATAAGTGTGTGTTGATTGATGTATTTGTGATTGCAATTTCACATGTGGAGAAATTTGAACTAAAGCCACGCAGTTTGTATGGTATAACAAGCTAGCCTCATAGTTCAACAAGGACCCTTTAATAACAACTATAAAGCAAGTCACTTATTTTCGGTAAAATTAGTTTATAAACTAAAAAGTGACCGTAAAATTAGTTTACAAACTAAGAACTAAAAAGCTAGAAGTTCATAAATTAACTTACTAAATTAAAAGTGTTTGGTAGAATTAACTTATAAATTAGTTGATTAATATAAAATGACATATTTATTTATTTAACGATGAAAGTGTGAAAATAAGATGTATATTTAATGATTTTTAAATTAAAAATCTAAAAAAAAAAATCAAGTAAATTAATTAGAATAAAAAATTAATACCAAACAAGTAAGCAGATTAAAAATACTTATAAACCCCTCAAATATCATGTGAAGCACACTCTTTAACTTATTAAGTAAAGACCACTTATACCGATTTTTATATAAACCTGAATTCCCTACAACTAAAAAGTAACTACAAGGAAGCCTTGTAGTCATGATCCAATGCCTCAATTTTTGTGGATAGATTTCATAGTCCCATTCTCGATAGTCGAGTCTTTAAATTTATGATTATATACTAGGTTAGGTTAGCCAAGGGATCACTTCCCAAAGTTCCAAACACACCATAAGGCTTATCCTGGCTTGGACTTTAGTGGCAATGGAACTAAAGTCTCAAATTTATACTTGTAAGGAAAATGCAAAGACTTCTATCTGCAAATGAGGGCAGATAGTTTTTCCCACACTTAATTTTTTAGCATACGTACACTCTTATTCTTTTATACTCCTTCCATGTAAGGCAGGGCTATTTCTTGCTGAACGGGAAAGAAGCATTTTTTAGCTATAAATAGCGATGTTATAACAGGTTGATGTAATCCTACAACTATGGAGTAGCAACTTTTTGTTAGTTTATGAAAAAATTCACTCATTAACTTTTTCATAAACTTATTTTTAATTTGTACATAAATTATTCTTTATTTATGAAAAAACTAATTTTATTTTTCTCTTAAAAGCGTTCGCAGAAAAATTTATCTAAACATGTACTAAAACTACTATGGATACTTCAATGTATTTTGCAATCAGGATATCTTACCCTTGTACTGTTTCTGTTTTTTACAGATATGATTGGCTACTCTCAATTATAGTTAAGGTCAATTTTTGTTGAAAAAGAAATAGCAACAATACCATCATCAAAAATCATTTTGCATACTCAGCTGCTGAGAATAATTGGATGGTAAAATATCTAGTCACTATGTTCCGTGTATTTGTTGGGCTATAGGTTACATGGAAAGACATTCCAAAAATGTCGCTAGATTGCTTGTGTAAAAATGACCAGTGAGAGTATAGTAGTAAAATGCAAAAAAGACCAGTTTACTAGTTACAATTAACCTTGTAGCTGCCAGATATTATACATGGTCTGTGCATCAATCAATGATAGAGTTTAACATCATTCTGTGATTCAATAAAATTAGTTTACACCCTTGTAAAATACTTATCTTGGTATGCAACAATTTAATTTGATCACTTAAACTTATTTTGTTTTGTAAATTATTCTTCAAGAATTCTATGATCCTATGATTTTACAATTGAGTTTCACCCCTTGTTAGTATCTATCCCCCAAATAATAAAGAAAATCCCAAGTGACTAGATGAATATATAACCAAACCAAGGGATGAAGAAAAGGATCAATTTGTATGTCATGTGGTGAGAGCTGCATATAGGAGCTGGTTCCATGTGTCAGGCAACCCTGGTAGGCACCAGTGGCTGCAGTCATTGCCTTCATGATTCTCATTATAAGAAGAAGGGTGAGCATCTTTTCTTAGTTGTGAGAGGAGTGTGATATCAAGTAGATAAACTGAAGTTTTCATCTTCTTTAACACATTGTTCAGTATGGTAGTTGCTGGAGGTAGACCTGCTGGATATGTTGATCCAGACAACGGTTGAAGCTCTCCTCTGCACGTTCTTTTTGGTTCATTCCAATCCTGCCCTCTGTAATCAATATACATTAACTGATGATTAACATGTTGTGATTTTTGCCTAAATTATTGTTGATGAGTGAAGCGGTTACTTACTGATAATGAGTAGGAGAAATGCCTTGAAAGAAAACTTTAGTTTTGGTGGTATCAACATTATTATCCACCCAGTTAGCCCAAGTGGTTAATCCTTTATTGTATGCCTCCAAACGGTCCATGTTCTTGACCAGATTGGGTCCATCTCTAATATAATCCCATCTGTATAATTAGACCATCATCAACAACCGTTAGGTAATATTTAGAGCAGTGCAAGTGCTAACTATTTATCATAAAATCTTTTGCAATAACTAACAATTAATGATGATTAATGATTATTCAACATAAACGCATACATACCCCTGCGATTTTCCGACGTGGGTCCACCAATGCCAGGAGTTGAAAATCAACACGTCCATGCCTTTCCACGCATTTCCAGCAACAATGGAGTTTAATGTAAGGACTCGCCCCACTTTTTCTCGAATAATGTCTACCAAATACGGTGTGCGGTATAGCTGTATAGTTACTCCATACTCCTGCACAAACTCACCAACAACTAATCACTTTCGATGGCTCAGATTAAATTGAATCGTTACATCACACCCGCATATAAGATATTTCACAAACCAAATAATAAAGTGCAAAACAACTAGGACTCAAGACTGGCATCTATCCAATTGTTGTAATTTGTTAAAAAAAATAAAGGCAAACGATATTCATTTATCATTTTCATATCACCTTTTTTATAATAAAAAAACATTTTAACATACGTTGATTTTAATCTCTCTTCAGGAAAAACCATGAAATTGTTTGTTGTATATATATAAAGAGAGATACATAATGGCATGTATTGGTATGCCTAAAATAAGAAAGGTATACAAATCTAACATAAATTATCTTAACATAACATCATTTTCAAAAGGGGAAACATGTATTGGTATGCATAAAATATTCACGTGAAAAATAATAACAATCTGCAAACATGCTCTGTTCTGTCAATGTCACTTTTTCAATATAATAATGCTATCGTTCCACTTTATGCTATATACACTTGTATAACCATTAATAATTAATTAGCTATATGTTTATAACGATTTTTATTATCAATTTAAAATTTATTAGTATAGAAAAATCAAGATATCAGTCAAGAAAAAATGGAAGAGATATAATAACAACAAAAAAAAAGTTTGAGAATATTATGTTGAGAAAAACATAAGCTAAAGTCGGGGGAATATATTATATATTTATTGGAGTAAAACTATAAACAATGGTAAACGGTGATTATTCAAAGTGCAAAATTTGTCAACTTAGAATCACGTGAATAATTATTGGAATAAAATTTGCAGATAGTGATGCTCTAGATCGATCTGCTCAGAGCAATGGCTGAATTCATCTGGTTTTCCACCTAATGCCACATTATAATTGGGAATTGCTACCTAGTGATCGAGATCTGAAATTTATCCTAGTTTTAAAATATTATGGATTTTGTAGCTTAAAAGTATTAACTTGCTATATAAATCGTTTTCAAATAGAAAATGCCAACTACAGTGTCATGTTCTGTGATTGATATCGAGCAAACTAACACGATGAACCAAATAATTGCGAAGAGCCTCCAAGTTGCAATCACATGTTGGCATGGTCTTCCTCACAGCCTGTCAACTACCCTAGATAAACTCAAGTCATAAACTACAATTTTGTGTCAAAATCAAGCCTTTTTCCTAAATATTAAGAAGAATTTTGGGTTCCCAGCAATGAAAATTACTATGTGCGGTTGTTTTCTCCACTTTTCTATTGGGACTATTACTACTTTTACTGCTATTCTTTATTTTGAATCTTTGATTGCTACTGGCCCAGCAAAAGGAATCTTCTCCTGCCCAAAGAACTATTGAAAGGTATATTATTAAAGCGTTAGTTCAATAGTTCATCACATCTTCTTAACATTGTGGGCAATGTCTTTCGTATACTTAAATCCATCTAGTTCGACCTTCCACCTATCAACTTTTGGAAAAAAAACAAAAAGGAAAATTCAGTCCACCTCCCCTTCCAACCTCCTATCTATATTTTTTATTTTAAAACTGACAAATGTGATAGAGAGGTGCAACTTGCCAGTTGCAAGACTTTGATGTGCAAGTAACATTTTTTTACCTAGCTTTATCTCCAAATCTAGCTGGATGATTCAGGTAAAAATACAGGTGACTTTTAAGTAAATGTTCACATGTTCAGGAATTGATTCTCGGTCTAAAATTAATTTTAAGTTGAAACAATTTTGCATAGTTTTGTGTTGGATAAAAAAAAATATCCTGAATTTTATTATTAACTTGTTTTTAAATTAAAAACATCTAAATATAATTTGCTGAATTTTAAAATAAATTTTATTTGAAATCAATTTTACAAATACTCGTACAAACAAACAGATAGTAGGATTGGAAAAACTAAGGAAATTAATTATGGAAGAACCAACATGGGGCATAAACCATGGAAGAAAAATGAAGACAAATGTGTTGTATTCATTGAACCCGAGTGATTTATACCAAACCAGAAATGAGACAAAGATTAAAAGAAAAGTAAAACAAAAGCAAACCTGGAAGGTAACAGTGGTCAGTGATTCTTTTCTCGAAAGGCTGGTCTTGGTATTCGGTACCGACGCGTGAATCATACAGGACAGTGATTCAAACATGTTCAGACTCAGTGAGTCACCCACAAACATTATCTTCTTACCCCTCCACCTGTTCAAGAAATCCTTACCATCGAACCTACAACAGAAAAATCGCATGAAATTAACAAAATTTCATTCATCCAACATTTCTAGAAGATCGAGTTTTATCAGTCCTGTCCCCTCACAGTTTGGCAGACAATAATAGAGGGACCAAACAAAAACCAAATTGAGTAGGCTGATTTACTAAATGAAATTGTGCAAGAGAGTAAAGAACTAAAGGTTAAAACAAGTTTCTTAATTGTACTATTAAACATGAAATCCGGAATCAAAAAGTGGTTGGTTTCTTCGAAAGCTCTATTTCAATGTTACATATATAAACTACTGTTCAAATATATTTTCAAGTGAACCAAGGAAATAATATGCATAAGTTCATAGATTTTAATATTTATCATTATCATATATATAAAAAAAAAAAAATACACATTGGACAAAACTTAAAGGCAGTTGTTTAAATGTCATACTTCAATAAAATTATAGTTTCAAAGTGACTTCTGTTAACCTTTAATAAAACTTTCATGTGAATTAAGGTAAAAGTTGTAATTTTGATTGAAAAATAATAAAAAGAAAACATTTAAGAAATGACGTCCAAGTTTGTCATTGGGGCACCATTTTGAGAATGGAATAATATTGAATCTGGGAAGAAAGTTAAGATATGAATTGATAAAGCTGGTAGTACCTGGGCAAGGCACATGAATCAGGTTTCCAGGCGTATTTGAGGTACTGTTTGTCGGGTCTTCCATACTTTTGGCAATCAAACTCGCCAGCAATGAAGGGACATGATGAAGAGTCATAGAGAGGATAAGAAGGGTCAACCACCCAAGTTCCCAAGAACAAATTGCACCCATTATTTGCCACTGCCTTTGTCCCTCCCAAACCACTCGCATTGTGGAACTTTGTTGCTCTTGCTTGGTACAGGGTCAAAAGCAGAGCTTGGAGAAACAGGGAGAACTTCACAAAAGTAGTGACCCTGAAACCCATATGATGAGAGAGATAAAGAATGGATGTGAATGACACTTGTGTGTGCTTATGGGTCACATTTCATATATAGGATGGAGAAACACAAGAAAAAGAAGTGCTTGGTGGGGTTCCCATGGTGGGTGCTGTAGGACACTCATTTTTCTTTTTTTTCTTTTTTTTTTCCTCTCTCTTTTACAAGGGGATCTTGGATGGATTTGTCTGTGCAGTGTTGTGTTATGTTGTGTTGTGTGTGGTTTTATGGGGAAAATCAAATGTTACTTACCATTTAACGGAGGGAACTGAAATGTTCTTTGCATTCCATTCCATTGGTCTAGTCTAGTCTACCACCTACACTATCACAAACCACAGGGAAACTGTTTCAATAAATTAGAAATTGAGTACTTATCATTACTATATAATGCCATTGTTTAGTACGAGTTAAAGTTAGTGAAAAACAAACAAGAAAAAAAAAATGTTTTTCATCAAAATATGTCCATTTTACTTCATAGATAAAATTAAATGTTTTAAATGTATCTTAAATTTTGATGTAATTTTTTTTTATTTTCTTCTTTTATTTAAGGAGATTTATGTTTTATATATATATATATATTTATTTATTTATTTATTTATTTTTTTCTGTTTTCAAGCAACTAAACACTTATCTAATTATTTTCTTTCACTTTCTTTCCTGATGTTTTCATTCATTAACCAAATAATACTGTTATTCCTTATGTTCAAATAAAAATTTAATTCTTTTATGTCAAAGTTATTAAAGAAAATTACATTTTCCTCTTTTAAAAAATATATGAATTATATTACTCTTCTTTCGAATATTAAAATATATAATAAATTATTTTTTATACTTAAAAGTGTGAGTATTATACTATTTTTTTTAATTAAAATATATAATTTAACTTATTTAACGTGACGTTACTAAAAAGAGTTTATTATAAAATTTTAAAATATTTTTTAGTTAAATATATGCTAAAATATTTATAGTTTATTAAGTATTTTATATATACAATCATGATTAGAGATATCACTTTATTTATTTATATATATATATATTAATTAATATAATTATATTACTATTATATATATATATATTAATTTTATTATTTAAAAATATATATTGTGAAAATAATAATTAAAAAATAATTTTTAAAATATTTAATTAGATGTAACATGATTTATAATAATCATTTAAAATAATAATTAAATATATAAACTAAGTAAGAAATAAACTACTATATATAATTATAAAGTATAATATATTTATATTTGTTAAGTAAAAAGAGTGTTATTTTAACACAATCAGAAAGGATTTATAATACTTGTATTTTTAGAGAGTATTAGTGTTAACAGTATTTTGATAATAAATTCTTTTTTGTCGTAATATACTTTTTGTCTTTTAAATTAGAAAATTTTATTTTATTCCCTCATCTTTTAAAAGATTTATTTTGATTCTTTAAATTTTAAATTTGAGTTAATATATTCTTCTAAAAATTGATTATTTTTATTTTAGAATATAGTTTTAAATTCTTTTTTAATCAATTTAAGACATAAAAATTAGTTGATTAAATTCACTTATATAAAAGTTATGAGACATAAATAATGTAAGGAAAAAAATGCCATAAATACAAAGGAGAAAAATATGATATTGGACATTTCAAATTTTCAATTGCACGTGATTTATTTTTTGTACAATTCTCATCATTTTTATGGTTCTTTTTAATTTGAAAATTAGTTAGGTTCAATAATTTTTATTTTAGTAAATTTAATGCGATACATTTCATATAAATAAATATAATGGACTCCAATTAAAAAAAAAAAAAAAAAGTTAGCATAAACCTACAAGTCGATCCTCATACTCATAGGTAAAATCCATTTAAAACACAAGTTAAATGAATTGAGATGAAAAGGTCTACATCTTAAATGGGTGGCTCATGAGACTCAATCCAGATGCCTAAACTCTAATCACATGATAAGAATTCAATGGGTGATCTGATCTTCACGATGCAGAAGAACATCAAAAATTAAAAATAAACTAATATTTTAATATGTGCAATACATTATAAATGTTTATTTTATATATTTATAATATATATAATAGATAAATATTTTTAATATTTAAATTATATTATAATTAAAATTCATATGAAAAATTACTTTTGAATATAAATAATATTTTAGATTTATAATAAATAATTTATATTGAAATACAATGTTATTTTTAATTATTAATAGTTTTTAAGAATAGTTATATTTAATTTAAAATTGAAAATAAAAAGATAAATCGAAAGATATGAGAGTTTGAGAAGAAAAAAAATTATAAATGTTCTTATTGAAAAAAAAGTCTAAAAAGTTATTACTAAAGACCTATCTTCAAGACAGCTAATTTATACATGTAATGAGAGATACGTAAAAGAAAGATAGGTTTTGGTTTAATGACCTTAGTAGCGCAAATTCAGAACCAAAAACACGAATTAGCCAATCTCCACAGCAACCCACTTAGGTTGAAGTACAACTTGGTAGTTTTCAATTACATTGCTTCCTATTTACTTATAGAGAAGCATGATCAAAAAATAATTAATAATCAATAAATGCTAATCAAATCCTCATTCAGAAAGCATAATCAAAAAGCAATTAATAATCAACAAATGCTAATCAAATCCTTATTCTATCACAGGAAATAAAATTTAAAATAAAGGAAATGAATCTTAACTTAAATGAATCCTTATAATATCTTAATAAAAGGAAAAAAAATCTTTAAAATAATAATTAAAAAAAACATATTCTAATTGTATTTTCTAACATTAATTCTAAATCTCAATAATAAATTGACTAAGTTATACTTTTAGTCTTTTATTTTATTTATTCATTTTGATTCTTTATCTTTTAAATTTGTATTAATTTTGTCATTTTAAAACAATAACTATTTTTAATTTTACAACATGATTTTTAATTCATTTGACACATGAAACTTGTAACATTAGATTCACTTATATAAAAATTATAAATTGAATTAACATTTAAATCCAAAATGGTTATAAACATAATAAAAAAAAGTGAAAAACATGTCCTATAAACAACTAGAAAATAATATGAAAATTGAATTTTTTTTTGTTGAAAATTTCAATTGTTTTTAACTTGTTTTTATCATATTTATGACACTTTTTGGTTTGAAATGCATTTGTGTTTTATAATTTTTATATAATTGAATAACGATATGAGTTTTAAGTTTTAAATCAATCAAAAACTTATTTCATGTTTTAAATCAATCAAAAACTTATTTCATGTCACAAAGTGAAAAATAATCATTATTTTAAAGGGATTAAACCGACTCAAATTTAGAAGATAAATGATCAAAATAATATTTTAAAAGATAAAGAACAAAAATAAATTTTAAAAATAATATAAAAGATCAAAAGTATAACTTAGCCTAATAAATTTCAAATATCTTTTGTTTTCTTTAGATTTTATGCTTGCTATACTTTATTGAAGATTTCTATATTTTTGTCATAGGGAGGTGTGTATTAGATTGGGATTTTAAAAAAAAAATTTAGTATGAAAAAGTCTTGTAGATTTTAATGGATATTAAAAGACTTTGTAGGAATTTTATGAATTTTTAGATTTTTAAAACTAGGATTTTAATTAAGACTTTGTAATTCATATTTTAATGGATTTATATTATAAGATTTTAAAGGATTTCATGAAAAAAAATGGATTTATAACAAGATGTAATAAAAAAAATATAACATAAATAAAAAAAAAGTAAAAGCAATACAATTTTTCTATATTTTCATAAAATAATTGTTTATTTTTTGATAAACAATTGACTTTAATATCTTCATAACTAACATTTTTTCAAATATATAAAGTTATACTAGTCTTCTGTGCATTTACATTTTCTCTTTCATGCACTTTGAATAATATGTTTAAAAATATGATATTCATTAACTAGTAGCATTGAAAATGAATATTTATCTACTAATTTAATTAAAAATTTACCAGAATGACATTCTTTGCAAAAATAATTATCTGATGCTACATACTAATACAAATTTAGCTTATGTCTTAAATAAAAATATTAATCTCGACTTAAAAATTGTGAAGTGTACATTTCAATCACATTTCTTAAGGATACATAGTGTAAATTGAAATTTTCATTAATATATATTTCAAAATATTGTATTTCAATATTAAATTTTATTAAAAAAAATATTTAAATTTTAATAATTTAAAATTTTAACAATAGATAATATTTAATAATACAAAAATCATTTTAAATATTTAATAATTAAAAAATAAATATTAATATATCATACATCAATTAATAACAAAAAAATATAAGAGAAAAAAAAGATACAGAGAGAAAAAGAGAAAGAGAAAGAGAAACAAGAAAGACGAAGGAGAAAAAGAATAGCGGAGGAAAAAAAACAAGAAGAATATGAGTGAGAAACAAGAAAGACCAGGCAAAAGATTTAAGAGAGAGGAAAAAAAAGAAAGAGTAGAAATAATAAGAGAAAAAAAGTCATGTGAAATCTCAAAAGTTTTTGTGAGATTGTTTTATGAGTAAATTAAATGTAAATTTTCTAAAAAAAATCCCATAAAATTCAGTATTTAAAACAATCCATTGAAATCTCTATATTTTTTTTACTACCAATAGACATTTTTAAAGTAAAAAAAATATTAATTGAATACTATTATATTTTAACGAACTTTTTAAAAAATTTATATTGTCTTTGATTAAATATCACTAGATTTTGATAAACTCTTAAAAAAAATTGATTGTCTTGATTGAATATTACATAACTTTTTTTATATTAAAAAACATATTGATTGAATATCATTGATATTTTTTTAATAATAAAAAAATATTTTAAAATCCATCGAAATTCTAATCTATACACCTTTAATTTCCTTAGGCTTGAACAAGTAAAACCACATCTTGATTTGCTTTTTCCTTGTTTTATCAGGCTAGGCTGCACTCATATGGGCTTCAATTGCCTTTTGTATCTTTCAAAGCTTTGCTCTTGTTAATGGATAACCATTTTTCCCTAAAAAAAATTGTCATGACAATATACTAATTGTTACTAAAAATTACTTATATATATATATATATATTATAAATACAATATATATTAATATATTTATTAAAAGTATATGTATAGATTATAATGAGACATAATATATGTTGTTGAATCATATTCAAATTCAACATTAAAATTGTGTGTTGGGTAAAGTCATTATCTACTTGAATTCTATCATGCAAAATTATGTTTATTATATATAAAATATGTTTAAGATAGTTGTACATTATCACAACAATAACAATAGATAAAATTTAAATATCATATCCAATAGGCTAACTTAACAATTACCAACTCACTAGTAATTTTTAATTGTTTGAGTAATCTATGTTTATTTGTACAATAATATCTATAAATTGCATAAATTGAAAGTAAAAATGAAAGTGTAAATTAATTGAGTTTCCAAAGATTAAAACTCTAGACGGTTTAATATAAATCCAAAATATAATTGAATAGTGAAATTTATTTAAGAATCTTAAAATATTTTGATAAATTATGTTTTTGACTCCTCTAAAATTTTATAAATTCAGTTTTAATTAGTCCCCAAAACCTTATGTACTATTTTAGTTTTTCGAAATTTAAAACATGTTTTTTTAATCCAAATATTTAATATGGTTAACTTAATATTGATATGAATAAGAGAATTTCACATTAGGACTCTAGACGTGAATTTTTGGATGAAACCCATGTGGCTACCATGTGATTGGTAGCTTTTTCAACCTAAAAAAATTATAAATTTGAATTTTAATCCGTATAAAATTTGAAATTTGATTATAATCCTCGTAAAAGTCAGAAAATTGATTTTAGTCCTGGTTGATATTAGTCATTAAAAATATTATATTTTAATTTTTTTAATACAATATAACATCCAATAATAAATAAAAATAACATATATTCATTACTTAATAATACTAATGGTAGATATGAACATGATGAGACAAGTCTTGACATATTTTTATTTCTTCTTCACCCAAAATGATGTAAATATTAATATTTATATTATATTTTTATTTATCAAAGTTATAATAATAATAATAATAATAAAATTAAAACTTAAGATCATGTAAATATTATTTAACTCCACTATTAGATAAACTTTAATAATTAATATTTACATTATTTATAGAGAATAAAATACCTAATGTCATCATTAAACCAACTCTATTAATATCTTATAATTAAGAATATTAATCACTACCAAAAAAAAATTTAATGGAAGTTAATTTTAAATTTAATTAGAGTTATAACTCCGCTAAACGCATTTTCGGAGGTTTCGTGTACCCTTGGTAAACTCTTGGTCGAAAATGTGTTGGTGGGAATTTTCAACAACCCCTAAAAATTTAGAATTTACTGGCTGTTTGAAAATCCTAATTAAGTTATGGCAGTTTTAAAGCCTTGGAATATGTTATCTTGATAGAATAACAACTTATCTTCCAACATGGTTTTGTCTTCCAAAACGAAAACTTATGAAGAAATATGCAGAAGAAAAGGGCAGGAAAGTAAACATAGTTAGGGTTCCATCTGACATAACAAGATGAAAAACCTCCAACAACTCCGGTTTGACTAGCCACCCTCCATACGACGCTTCCATCTGTCGGTTTGGTCTTATAAACAAAACAACAGATCTTGCTAACGGCCAAAGCCCAAAAGGTGATTAAGATTCTTTTTCTGGTCACTGCTCTCAACAAACCCACTACACTACGAAACCCATGTCGGCCATAGATTAGATTACACTCATCCACAACACATGTACCTAATGGGCCCTCCGGGGCCCATATCTCATTGTCTGCTTCAACCTCATCTAGTTTACTCTTCCTCCATATCTCATTCCCATCCTATGCTCATATTATAACTTGCAATAAAGCGCAATGTCTTTTCTATAACTTCATAATCTCTCACTCTCGCAACACAACCATAACAAATTTTTCATCCAATTAACTTTTTTATGTATAGTTTAAGAATTCGTGATATGTTTAGAGATCGATAATTTAATAAATTTTTTATGTGTAAGAACTAAATTAATAATTTGACTAAAATTTGAAACAAATACCTTTCATTTTCTCTTCTTTTTTTATGTTTCTGAAAATGTTTTTGTTTTTATGTATCAAATTGTTGTAATAAATTAGAACAGTAAGATCAAATACATAAAATGAAGAATGGAAATTTGGTTACTTTGAGAGTGTAATTACTTTAAATAAATTTTGAAATATGTACTTAATTTTTGGTGTTTTTTTTTCTTCTATTTTTTATTTGATTTTATATTATTATCTTAAAATTTTACTTTAAATTAATCTGATTCAATCAGAAGATAAGTATAGCTTGACCAAAGATTATTATTATTTTTGTTAAGTATTAAACTTGGATACTGCCTGAACAATTTTTCTTCTATTTTATGTCTCTGAAAGTGGTTTTTTATTTTTATTTTTATTTTTTATGTATCAATTAAATTGTTGTAAGTAATAAATTAAACAATAAGATAAAATTAACAAGGACCGAAAATTGATTCATAATCTAACTAATCAATTTTTATAGGAACCAAGAAAGGGAATGGATGTTCGATTGGTTTCGAGAAAACAATAACTGTAATTTAAATAAAATAAGAAAGATTTATTTTTGGATTTTTCTATTTTAATATGTAAGATTGCAAGAAAATTGGTTCAATGCAATTGGGGAAAATGTTGGGACTTATCCTATTTCACGTAAACTTCCTATTTCGGGTATTTAGTTCAATTTTTTTTTAAAGTCTACCAAATTTTTTATTTATTTTAATCATAATACCTAATGTAAAATTAAATTGAAATAAACATTAATCAAACCTCTTAACTTGTATAGTTGTAAGATTAGTCTTGAGATATGAGAGTTAATCTAATACTTTTGAATTCACATTAAAATTTCATGTAAACTTCCTATTTTGGGTATTTAGTTCAATTTTATTTTTCTTAATGTCTACCAAATTTTTTTATTTATTTAAATCATAATTAACACCTTATGTAAAATTAAATAAAAATAAACATATTTACGAAATCTCTTATGACCTGTAAATAAAGTGTGTGTGATAACAATATAAATGCAATAAAATAAAGTAATATAAATAATAAAATAAAAAGAAATGTAAGGAAAAAAAGACTGCAAATGAATGAACATAAATGAAAAACTAACTTTAATAGAAGAAAGTAACAAAAAAAACGCAAATCAAAACATAGAAAAAGGGAGTAAAATAGTTAAAAAAAATTAAATAATCAATTTGAAAAATGAGAGAACAAAAGTTAAGATCTATCAAAAGATGAAATATTAGAGGAAATGATGATTTTCTCATAATGAAAAAGTTTAAATGAATGATATGTAAAAAAGTCAATTAATGTCACGGGCGCATACACACTAATAAATTATAAACTTAAATCAATAATAAAATGAATATTTGATTAATGAATTTAAGATAATATTATTGTATAATTATATAGTATTTAATGTAACACATGATTCTTTTTTTGACAAATGTAGTAGTACTAATTTTTGTGTGCTACCATATATTGACAATTTGAAACTTTGAAATTTAAAGATCAACTACAATCATTTGATATTTAATTATATAGTTTTAAAAACTGTTACTGTTCTTTAAAATAATAAAAATTCTCTCATAACTTTGAAAATAATTTTAAGAATATAAAGAGAAGAAAAAAATATTGTAAGTTATTCATACATTTATTACTGTCAAAATAAAATTGTTTTTTTTTGAAAATCTGTTGAAGTTGTTACGATTTTTTTGCTCTGTAAAACAGAAAATGAAAACAACTTTACAAAATTCCTAGAATTGAGGATAGCAAAGATAGTACAATAATAAAACATTAACTATTAATTATTTATTAATTAAGGTTTTTAAATTTATTATTTTCAAAATCACAATATTGATTTAGAAATCAGTTATCAAATCCGTTGATTTTTATTCCACATATAGTTGTACAAAGCAGGTGAAATATCATGATGATGACCTCAAAGGTTGATTGATTCAACCTCATGAAAAAATGAGAAAGGGATGGTCAGATCTGCCTCATGAACTACTTTCACAAATTGCAAGTGGTTTAGGGCTTATCGAGTTTCTGAGTTTCCGTGGTGTATGCAAAGATTGGTACGTGGCTTCTTCAAAACTTTCGCCCGAACCTGAAGATAAATCTTTTCGCTCTGATCCTTGGTTTCTTATATACGAAGGTGAAGGTTCTGAGTTTTCCTTGCTAACCGACCAGGATCATAAACCCTACACCATTAGCATTCCAGAACTGGTTGGAGCAACATGTCTTGCATCAAAAGAAGGATGGTTACTTGTCTTTTGCTGTGGTTCCTTGTTCTTCTTTTGTCCCTTTTCTAGGGCAAAAATAGAGCTTCCAGATTGTCCATTCAACGAAGTAACCGAACATGTGGCAGCGTTTTCTTCTGCTCCCACTTCTGAAGATTGCATTGTTGCTGTGGCTAACCGCAGCAAAGAGTGTGAATTACATCTCTACACAATTTGCCGGGGACAGAAAGAATGGGCTATGTATGACTATTCGCGTCGTTCTAAATTTAATATAATAAGATCAGCTTTGTTTTATCAAGGGGAAATTCACTTCTTGGATGGGGGTGATGGCTTGGTTACCTTCAATTCCGAGAGTAAAACTAAAGAATCACGATGGAAAACCTATTCCATAGGTCCAACTTCTGATGTACCTGCTTCGGATCTATTGTACTATGAGTTACGTGACAATCCTTTTCAATCAAAGTATAGGTCAAAGGTGAGAGATGCTTCACTTTCTACATGTGGGACTATAATTCCACACGATGGTGGTGAACATGACATATTTCCGAATGAAAGCATTGAGGCAGAAGAACCATCTACAAGCCGTCATCTTAAAGGGGTATGGATCCAACCCAGATACATTTATGTTCCTCCAGGTCAAAGATGGTAATTTTTTAGGGTGTCACTTTTTTGTTTTTTTGTTTTCTAGTTGTCATTTTGCTCACCCTTTCATGATTTGTTATTTATTTCAAACTTTGGGATTTTATGGTTTATTGGCTGTGGATCAAAACCATTTTATTGTTAACGATTTGGAGAGATTTTTATTTGCTATCATGCTTTATATGTTCTAACTCTTCCATCTATACCATCTATATTTCTTGTGTTTCCATTTATTTTAACTAAAAAACAGTTTGAAGGATAAAATAAAAATAAAAGATAACACAATCAGTTCCTACTGCAACACTGTACTAGTAGGAAAAAAATATTTTCAAGTTTTTTTTTTTAATATAGCAGAGGTAGTAAATAGTTATTAAGATATTTAAGGAAAAACTTATATATTGAAAATTTTTTCTCACTTTTATTAGTTGTTATTGTTCATTTTTAAAGAATTAAAATTATAAAAAAAAATGTGGACATGAAAATACGAAATCATCTTTATATAAACAGTGAGAAAAAACACACTTTCTACCTCTCTTAACAAAAGAAGAATTTTAATTATGTGTTGTTATTAAGGGTAAAATAGAAAATGTAAAATTTATTATTAGTATATATTTAATAACAATTTTAAAGATAAAACTGTTACTATAATATATTTATTAATTATTATCTTGTGATTTTTTATTAATATTAAATAAATTAAATTTGTAAGAATAATGTGGGCAAAAGTAAGAAATTTTTATTTTTATTTTTATTTTTTTTATAAATAAGTATAGATGTCAAATAGAATATTGCTAACACAGTTGCCGAATCCTTCAGAGGATTATTTGTTAGTACATGTTTAGTTGGAGATTCAAAACATGATTTTAAGTAAATTTTTGTATTTGATTTTATGTTTGGGAATTGATTTTAGATTTAAATAAAATTGATTTTGAATTAAAATAATTTTAGATAATTTTTACATTGAATAAAAATATATTAAAATTTACTACTATATAACTTACTTTAAAATTATATATATATATATATATATATATAACATTTAATTTCAAAATAAATTCTAACAAAAGTCAATATTACAAAATTTTTGCATAATATATCCAAATTTAGTCACAATCCATAGGTTTTTGTCAAATTCACTCAACCAAGACTGTTAAAATCTCATAGCATATATGTAGTATACAGACAGCATATTCTCCACTGCCTCCATGCCTAACAATTTTGAGTCTGTGACTTAACTATGACCAATGACACGTAATACCAAATGGCTAACAAAAGTCATGTCCTAGGACATTTGATTATTTGGGTTTATGAAAGTAGTTTATGACCTTCCAATAAGCTCTTTGTAATTCATTTCAACAAGTTTCACGGCAAGCTTTTGAATAAGCTCTCGTTTGACAGTAGAATATTGAATAAATAATTAATTAAGCTGATTACTCAAGCAAACCACATATACAAAGGGGAAAAACTGCTTCTAGCATTAACTGGCCAATGTGGGACTTGCTAATATCAATAGTTGAGCTGAGATTAACCTTGGCTTCTTTCCCTTTTCTTATCAAAATTAAACAATTTAATAATAATTAGGATAAAAGGTATTTGAATAGAATGATTATTCAAATTGTTTTATGAGAATTATTTTTGTAGACTTTTTAATTGATTCAATAGAATGATATTTATAATTAGTATAATTATATATATATATATATATATATATATTCAATTTAATCTTTTAAGTCGGTGCCTGAATTATCTGTTGGAGTGAACTATTTCTCTACCTTATATATATAACTGATTTTGACTCAACAAATAAAGCTTTTGAAGAAATCATGAAAGAATGTGTAACTTGCCTTGCATTCAACAGAGGATGTCAGCTTCTCTTTTAACACGCCCTAATAATTGTTTTTTTTTTCTCTTTTCATTTTGCAATCTAAAATCAAAGTCAATGTTTCCTTTCTCATAACTTATTGCTTAGGTATGTTTACTGTATGAAAATTACAAGAAAAAAAAAACACTGAGAGGAGTGAAACAAAGGTTTGGTAACTAATTGCCAACAATTTTTAATGATAAATTCTTCCTATTCAAAATGATAAATATTAATGATTGATAACTAATTGCCAGCAATTTTTAATACTTCAAATCCTTTATTTTCCGAAAAAAATAATGGATTAGTTTTTTTAAAAAAAAAATAATTAGTTGTTTAACTTAAATTTATTTATTTAATTAATTATTCTCTTTCTTATTTTTCTTCATATTATTTATCTTTAATTCAACATTTTTATTTTCACTAAATTTATTTTCTTCTTATATCAAACATACTATTAAAGTTAATTGCCTTGAAGAAATTATCAAAATAAACGAGTTTATTATTTTGTTGAACATATTTTCGTCCTTGTATGTATGTGGATTCGAATTTGATGTTTATACATAAAAAAATATATTAAACCGTTGTTGATAATATAAATTCAATTATATATATTAATTTCATTTATATAATTATTGAATTATAATTTCATATCATATTGTATGTGTATGTTGATAACGAATATTGTTAAAATTAAACAATAATTTGAAGGTACTCATCCTAGTTTTAGATTTTATGTTTGGTGATTCAAGTTGATTTATGAGGTAATTATCATGTGTTCTAGTATGTTTAAAAATCTCATATTATTTTGGAGTTAAGGTCAGTGATAGTTTATAAATATCATTTTCCTTTAATTCAATGGATGTCTTTTTAAGAACAAAATTGTGATAATTCAATGAGTGTTAAAGTAAATAATACCTCAGATGTGATGATCTTAATAATGATAATTATAAACATTTTCATTCCTTAGCCCATCAAAATGATTTTTCAAGAACAAGATTGTGATAGTCCAATAAATGATAAAAGAGACAATACCTCTTATATAATAATAAATATTTTAAAAATTACTCTAACTACTCGGTGAATAAAGTGACGATGAGGAAAGCATGACTTGTTGATAGCTTTACAAAACCTAGATGGTTAATGTATGAGGATGTTCATATCTTTTAGTTCTCTCCTTCATAAATACAAATAACATGTTTCAACCGTCTTTTATTAGAGATTTTAACTTTTAACTTTTAACCCTCCGTTATACCAAAAATAACTACAGAAAATCTATCGTAAGAGAGAGAAGAGAATCAAACTTTCAAAACTTATTTTTCTGATTTATAAATATAAAAAAATACTATTTTAAATTAGAGTCATAAGAACATATCATAAAAACTGACGCTGGAGTTGGACGATAGGAAATACTAAAAAAGGAAACAAAATTTCTGGAGATGCAGGGGATCGAACCCTGTGCCTCTCGCATGCAAAGCGAGCGCTCTACCATTTGAGCTACATCCCCATTCATTGTTAATATAGTACTACGAAGGTATAAATAATTTGTGTAATTTACCCCCAATCTGAGGCTCTATTGAGAAAAAAGATGATCCTCTCTCTCCCTCATCGCTTTATGAAAGTTGAAACTAGTGAAACAGAGAGGTGAAGGAAAAAAAGTGGATAATGGCTTCGTTATCAGTTAGCATAGGTATGAGAGTTCCGACCCCCTCAGCTTCACTCATTCTCACTGCTCCAAAACCATCTTCGCTCTCTTTGAGCGTTGCCCGCACTTCCTCCAACGCTCGCTCTCCGCTCCTCCATTGCTCCTTCCTCTCCTCTCCTTCCCATCTCTCTTCCCCTCCCTCCCTTTCAGGTACGACGCACTTCATTACTATTTCCCCACTGCCCTCTTTCTATAATTCCTTTTTCCCCCTCAATTTTCCTTCTTTACAATTCATCTAGGGGTTGCTGTTGCTAATGCCTTGTTTTCAAATAAATAAATAATGGTTTTTTTGTTGGGATTAGTTTAACTCCAAAATGGGCACATTCTGGGTTTTAAAAAAAAATTCTGTCAATTTGAGCCAAATAGGAGTTGGTGCTACTACTTTCTGATGCTGCAATGGGGTTGGGTAGTAAGTGGATAGAGCTCTCGTTGGAAACCAAGCCAATATATCAATTACAATAATAAAAGTTAAGATGCCTGCAATTTTGGACTTTTGGATTGTTAGATTAAGGATATGTTTGATTAAACGTTTACAAAAAACACTTCAAGAAAAAATGAAATAATTTTTTTTTGTAAGTTAATAAAATTAGTTTATGTATAAGTTAATTCTTAGAAACTCTTTCCCATTGACTTATACAAAATTTTATTTTTAAATTAAGAATAAACTAGTTTAAATTTATAGTT